AAGAGTGGACTAGAAATAAAAAGTCTGACTTCTTGTTTCTGTTTTCCAGTGGTACAGAAAACCAGACTACAACTTTTTTGAAAGCTATAAGACATATCGCAGTACACATCCAGAGCAGCCTTTCTATATCCTGAACCCAAAGATGCAGTGGCAACTCTGGGATATTCTGCAGGAGAATTCCTTGGAGCATATTCAGCCTAATCCACCGTCGTCAGGAATGCTTGGTAAGATAATTGCCTTCTAATCATCTCATTCAGTTTGTGAGAACTCTCCAGGATGCCTTTTTTTCCAAGACAACTACAGATTTATGGTGCTTATCAGAGTTGCTTCTAAATTATTTGTCTTATGCCAAAATTTAAGCTTCCTGCCTTTAAAGCAGTAGCTCAGTTGTGGTAAAGTAAGCGGTTTGCAGCACCCCTCAGAAACAGCACTTACAAACATGGCCTGGTTCCACATGGAAACAGGAGAGCAGATTGCAAGATCGAGATGTTCTCTAGGATTTCTAGCTTCTGGTGCCAAAGCAGTTCCCACAGGGTGCAAGAGGAAGGATGTAGCTCCTGTGGGCTCATTTCTTGTCAGGCAAATAAATCTGGTTATTGCAGATAAAATTGAAGTGCTTGCCTGTTTATGCTTTCTATATATATGGAAATATATATATATGGAAAAATATATATAGCTAAAGACTTACTGAGGGGCTGGGGATGGTCAGACTGAACAGTTGCCCTGAAAAGTTCAGTGATATTCCCCCTTACTCTGCATGCTAACATCTTGTTTGTCAGCATGCTTAAATCCAGCCTCTTGGCGAAGGGCTTATTTTACATTCTGCTGTTGCGAAGCTTTTCCTTCATATTGAAGAGCAGATCTCATGACCAGCTGAATAAAAAGGAGTGAACTTCTTGGGGAAATTCACGTATATTTGAAATCACAGCATAGACATAGGGTCTTGTTTGCCACGTGGATGTCCAACCTCTGTGCTTCAGCCCCCTCCTGTGCTCCCATAGATGCTGGGGCACAGGCACCCTTCTGCCTCTGTGTAAAGAGTGGCTTCTTATTTTTGCCAGTCAAATGTCTGGTTTTCTTCCACAACCTTGCTCTTGCCCAGTACCTAATTACATCATTGCTGGGATATGTGCAGAACAACTGCATAACAGCATAGTCAATGACTTCAACAGCAGAATTGTTGTTAACTGGAGTTAGGGGCTTGAAGGCAGGCACTGGTCCACGTTAGACAGCAAATTCCTCTGTGGTTTAACTTTGGGCCAAGTTACCTGCTTTGTAAAACAAGTCACCTTGCCAGACTCAGGGGCCCAGATGAGTTCCAGTTTGCAGCTCTGGATTTCCTGGAAGGCCTAAGCGTGAATGAAAATTGTCATTTGGAAAGGTGGATGAAAACACGTTTAAAATGTGCCTTCGTTAAACAAGTGGTTTCACGGATGGGTTCTTCTAATGCCTTACAAACTGATCGTACATGGTCCCTGACGTCTCAGATACTGCGTGAATTTTCATTATACATTGGTTCTATTTCCCTAGTATATTCTTGCTGTTTCTTGCACTTGGAAGACATGTAGCCAATAACTGGCCAGAGAGTTGACAGGTCTGTGCCCAGCACTGGCGTGAATGTCCTCAAGCGGTTCATGTGCCTGTCAGAAGACACAGGAGGGCAGCACTGCTCTGCTGCAGGGGAGCTGGGGGAGCCTGGAGAGCAGGGGCTGCTCAGCCTGGGTGAGCCATCTCCAAGCAGTGGCTTTCACATCCCCTGCATTCACAAGAGGCAGGGGAGGGGGACAGGTGAAGGTCTCATCGCTGCTTACCCAAGCAGGTTTGAGATGGGCTGTTGGGATCAGCTAATTGTAGTGCACAGTTGGCAGACACCCAAGTTTCCACAAAGGCTGTGGAGGATGGTAGTGCTCTTAAAAGTTGGCCTTTTGGCATGGCTGTTGCTGTAAACAATCTGCTGTAATCCAGTCGATCATACGCTTTGCAAGAGAGAGCTTCAGAAAACAGCCCTGTCTGTCCAGACTTGTTTTCTTCCCCTCTTGTCTGAACGTTCAGAAAGGAAACCCTTCCCCTTGGAGCTGGATGCTCCTTGCTAACCGCCTGTCTCACTGGACTGTTTAATCATCTCTCTGGTTTGACACAGGGATGTCTGCTTTCTTTCCCTCCCTAGGCATCGTCATCATGATGACGCTCTGTGATGAAGTGCACGTCTACGAATTTCTCCCTTCCAAACGGCAGACGGACATTTGCCACTATTACCAGAAGTTTTACGACCGTGCCTGTACCATGGGAGCTTACCATCCCCTCCTGTTTGAGAAAAACTTGGTGAAGCATATAAACCAGGGCACAGATGAGGACATCTATACTCATGGGAAGGTTACTTTGCCCGGCTTCCAAAATGTGCATTGCTAGCAGATCAGTTTTTAGTGTTTAGGAGTTTTTCTTGACTGTCAAAGCACTTTTTAAATCAGGGTTGTCAGATTTGTTAGGTCTAAGCACTGGTGTGTTTTGACAGCTCTTCCATGTTGCAACACTTGCTCTTAGGACTTTGTTGCCTAACTTCTCCCAGCTGTAAGGCGGTGTTAATACATTGCGGTACGTCCACACAGTATCTGCATGAGCCACTGCAATAAATTTACTCCCCGTGGAGCCAGGCTCATGCAGCAGATGGATATCTCTGTCTTCATCTCAACCAATGATGGTGTATGGGAGATGCAGGAGAGGCTTTCTAAGCAGAGATTGCACAAATCAGGATCAAATACTGAATATAGTGTGGTTTGCTTCAAAGGGGTTATGACAACCAAAAACCTGCTCCACTGAGAAACAAGAAAAATAATTTAAAACTTATTCCCATAGTCCTAGGAGCTCTTCGGAGCAGGGCTGATTTATGGAAACACTGTCAAAGCTGTGTACTTATAAACTAAGCCCTTAGTCCAAAATAATTGATTTTTATACAATTTTTGTAAAATAACCAAACCAAATAACTTCCTTTCAAATTGTAAGACTTCTGAAATCATTCAGGTAGCATTTCTGGCAGAGGAAGAGGGAGGCAATTTACAATTCGGTTTTCTTGCAAGACTTTTTAATATTTTTACTTTTTTTTAATCACTTAAAATAAATTTTAGTGAACATTTACTTCTCTGGTACAGTGCTGTGCTTGGTACAGAAGAAGCCTTATTTCAAAAACGTTTTGGGGAAGATGCTCCAAGGCACAAATGGGAGAACTCACTGGAAGTCGGTACCTCTTTCCAGCTCTCCACTAGTCTACCCTTGCAGTTATTGGCAAATTACTTGCTGGCTTGTCTCTGGTAACAGAAATGCCACATAGCTGCTGGCCAGATGAGTTCCAGTTCTCTGCAAGGTAACTGAGGTGATCTCTCGGTTGCTGTGTGCTTTCTGAAGAGGTGGGGAGTAGATACATTGCCCCCATGCTTCATGAGTGGTGGGGAGGGAGCACATGCTCTGCTTCTCATGCTGAAATGCAGGCAGAATTGAGGAGGGTGGCTTTTCTCTGCTTGAGTGGAGTCTCCCATAGCAGCACGGTGGAAGTAGTAGCTCTGCAATCTCTTTACGTCAGTGAGAACACCTTTCCTGTCCTCCTCCGTACTGATGCGTTTCACGATGTCTGTAAAGAAAGCTTTTTCCTCTCCTGTTTTGAATAAATCCTGTGAAGTCATTGGCCTGTTCTTGCCTTGGTGAAACCAGTGTAAATGGGGGCCCTGGGGACTTGTACCAGCCTTTTACCAGCACAGGCAGAGCTGGGAGGGGAGCTGCTCACCTCCTCATTTCTGTAAGCCTGCAGCTCTTGCCCCATCTTGGTGAGAGGGCCACTGCAGAGCTGTTCCTCCATCTGTTGGGAGGGATTGGATCTGTCAGTGTTTACAAATTGTATGTCATGTCATATATATGTAAAAAAAATTCAGGTCCTTACACTACTGCTCAGAGGCATGAGGACAAGGATGCAATGAAGGCCATGAGTAGTTATGTCTTGTTAAGCATTCATTTTCACTGTTAGGGAAGGGGAGAGCTTACGGAGGAAAAGCCAGCAGAGGTGGTTCGGGAGAGCCATAGTGAACCTCTCTCCATCTCCACTCTTAGTCTGTAACAGTTCTACCTCTGGCCCTTGGATCAAGGGGTTGTCTGCCACAGTGATTTGCCTTCTTAGTATGTGTTTAGTTGGGATTTGAGTAGCTTCTGCCTTTATTCCTACGCTGTCTCTTGTTATTTCTCACAATGACCAGTCACTCTCATCAGCTTGAGCTGTGTAATGGATGGATGGTGCCTTGCTGCAGGGGAGCAAGCACAGCCTGCCTGCAGTTCACCTGGGGGTCCCCCAAATCACCTTCTCCTCTGCAGTGCTCCTGCAAGAAGATAAAATGTCAAACAGGCTCCCTGGGGTTTTCCAGAGCCCTCAGTTACTTACAGGGAACAGTGTTGCACTGGGCGTGACATTTCAAACATTATGCTAACAGCTTTAGCTAGATCCAGCATGTGATTCATTTACAATCAAAACAAGAGTTTTACAGGAATTATGACAGAGCTTAAAACAGGCCAGTGTTAACACTTTTTTTTTTTTTCTTCTTTCTTTTTGGCTGCATAGATCAAAATCTAATACAAATCACAAGTGAGGACAAGTCTGGTATTTAGAGGAGCCAAATAACAAAAGTCTTACCCCTCCTGGAATCTCTAACTGTTTCCAGAGTGCTAACAGCTTTCTATCTGTGTGGAAAGCGGGAAGAGGGCAACACTGCCCTTTTCCAGTTAGCCACTGAAGGGCTAATTACTGGGAAAGATGCTTCATAATGATATGGGAGGGATGTGGGGGAAGGTCAGTGAGTCTGGGGAGGTGGAGAATGAATGGATTAATTTAGGTTTTGATGTGGTAAAGATCTCCCCTCTCAATTGTGGTGCTATTTCTGTTTCTGAATATTGCTTGGAAATATTCTTCCTGAGCTGTAACTTCTTAACTCCTTCCTGCAATACAAACTGGTCTATAGCACTGGCAGAAGCTACAGTCTTTGAAGTACTGGAAGGGAAGGGGAAAGGAAAGGGAAAGAAAGGGAAATCCTGGAAGGTGATGGGAACTCCACCTTAATTTCAGAGAGACATCACCCCTGAATTGTCTTAAATTCAAGTTTAAACCTGAAAGTTTAAACTTTGCATTATCCAGTGTTCCACCTGTTTCTGCAGCTGTGCTGATTAATTGGCAAAAAGTATATTTTAGTATGACAGTGGATTGGTCAATAATTGCTATTATTTGAAGGAGAGCTTTCATTGTCTGGCTGACAAAACTACCTTTGTTTTGCTTTCACTAGCAGGGGAAAAAAAAAAAAAAAGGAGAAAAGTCCCAGAAATTCAAATTATGTGCACCTGAGTCAACATACACTTCCTTACCTCCCCAAGAAGAATAGAGTAACCACTCTGTTCAGAACTAAATCTGACCAGACACTAGTGTATCAACAACGATGGTTAAAAAATACATGCTGGCCTTCCCTGAAAGAAACACAAGCCACCCCAGCCACATACTCCTTTTGTTTTCTGTATGTGCACCCAACTAAAGGTGTGGGTATAAGCAAGATGGCTTATTCTCCTCTGTTGTGTACCGTGAAGTCGGATGCTCTTGTCCAGGACTGTGGATGTGCGTTTTCACTTGTGGATTGTACCAGTCTGGCAGGGAAACATGTTCACTTGCTTCAGGTGACGATACAAGGCACAGTGCAGAAGCATCAGGCTTCATTTTGGAGCAGATAATTTATGTGCATGGCCATATATATCTTAGATCCTAGCAAACACTCTAGAAACAATATGCTACAGGGATGGATGTGCCCTGGTGCATTAGCAGGGGAGGTGAAAGTGGGAAAGAGCTTGTGGGGGGGTGGACGTATTACCCAATGCCCTGAGAATGGAGTTGCCTGCAGTCAGCGTGGCTTCACCTGGAGCTAATGAGCTCATTGGGGAATGCTGGGAGCAGGCTGTGACCCAGCTGGCTTTGTGCCTCACTTCAGGTAAGAAGGAGCCACAGATCACAACTCCTTTTTGAAGACAGAACTTGCAAGGAGGAGGATGTGCTTATTTCTAGCTTGTTTTTAAAACAGAGACAAAGAAAAACTGGTAAGTGGCCTATTCTGTTCTGTAAGCAAATAGCTTCTTCTCTTTTTGAACTAAATGAGCTGCTTAACAGCCTAGTCTTGTGAAAGGTATGGAAAATGGGTTTAATACGCAGGACTGTGACTGGTCATCCCAATAATGCAATGATGGGAGATCTGGTGTCTCCTGGAGTTGGTAGTGCACAGCTTGTGTCATGCACAACTTGTCTGCTATTCTAGAGTGGGGTATGGAGGGCTTCTGGCAGGCGATTGTGCTGGGGGGTTGCAAACATAGCACCCTCACACTGTCTCCACTGGAAAAGGAAGGAGCCCTTGTAGGGGCCAGCTTTCGCACTTCATTTTTTATCCAAGCCCTGTGAAATGCCTTCCCTCTATAGATAAGTGGCCCTTGCTGCTACTTATCCTCCAGGGTGTCAGCTCTGCGTTCAGGTGGGATCTTGGGTCATAGTCCAACCACTCTTACAGAGTGAGCTCGGAAATTCGCGCATTTATCATTCATTTGCCTATTTGCTTTTCCATATGTGTGTACTGGCAGGCCTTCATCTGCCTGCGGGCAGTGTGTGTTTCGCAGGAGGGCAAAA